ACAAGGTCCCACCAGGTGTGCCAATTTGTTTACCGTGGAAATTGGTAAACAACCGCTGATCTTCCAAAAGGTTACTTATTTGGTGACTCGCAGGATCGATCAGATTGATCCTAAGACATGGTTGATTTTCTGGGGTTTAACTAAATCTAATGATGATTAATGCCAATAAAGTAAAGACACTTTATGTAAATTGCATGAAGAAAAGCTTGATAGAATAAATGAAAGCGTTAAATAAAAGGCTTCGACGGAGATGAGTAAATGAAAGGCAATAAAGTGCTTGAATATAAAAGACTTTGATTAATTTAAATGGTGTTTCACACATACATTCTCAACAATTCTTTCGCTCACACTGGGTACTTGAATCTAGATGAGTGACTTGTATATAATGATGAACACACACGAAAAATACGTGAACAACTAGTATTTATACTAAAACACATCTTAAGTAACCGTTGGGCAGTTATGTCGCTTCGAGATGACGCCACATGGCACGCTCACAGCATTCGACGCTCCTGATCTTGGCACGTTGCGTTTGGTAACTGCTGGGAACTGTTTTCCCTCCAAACATTCGAATCTCAAACCGTTCCACCCTGGGCATCAGATACCTTTGTCGAGAAGTTCCTTCGACGTCGAAGGTAACAAGATTCCCACTTAAAAGAAACTCTCTAAGTACCTTGCCATTTTCTGATGAGCATTCGACAGGATCAGCTGGTCGAAACCTGGAAACTCTTCAAACTCATAATTAATGGTCTATATTGATAACAAACAAGGGTGTCGAATTTAGGAGCCAACAGTGTCTCCGAGGGGGAAACCTTGATTGTTTCTGCTCCAAATCCCCCATTCTTTTGCTCTACTGGAGGATGAGGGACTTGGTTTGGTTAAAGACAGTGATCAGTGTTGTTATGGTTGGGTCGACGTTCTGGGGAATGGGGGTCGGTTGTAGAATCTCGGGCTGGTCTTCGACAGGGTTCTTGGGAAACTGTTCTTCCAAGAATAGATTGATGTCGCGTTCAGCATCGATGGAATCCGGGGATGTAGTATGTCTGTCACGGGCGCCGAAGTTATCCTCGAGGTGAGGATGTTCTTGGCTTTCGCCGGTCTTGCGTGCCAGGGAGAGCATAATCTTTCCAGATAGTTAGTGATCATCATGGTCGGTCATGATTGATGAATGAGGAAGATCTTTGGTCTTTAGATTCCGGGGAACAGAAAATAGGTAAGATAGTTTCCTAGAGATGGCGCCACTGATTTTACTGGTTGATCAGAACCTGCAAGCTGGACGGAGGATGATCTTTGACGGGTTGGAAAGTTGAGGAGAAAGAGGGGATTGTACCTGAAACGCACTCCGAGAAACAACTAAGTGTGGAAGCAAAGAGATACAGGTAAAGTATTATGGTATCAGAGATGAATATTGGATATTCAATACCTGATCCTCACATGTGTGATGGTTTATATAATACTCCCCTGGCGCGTAGCCATTGGTTCCTATTTTTTGGCCTAGATATGCGGGTCCGCAAAAATAGATAACTGTCAGGACTGGGTCAAAACGGACAGATAAGCTCGTAAATAGTCGTTTGTTCCGAGGAGGAGGATTACGGGCAGATGGTCGTTTTGGTTGTTTCCTGTGTGTCTGCCCGACTCGTGTCGGACTGACGAGAGAGATTCGATGATCTGGTCAGGCGTGTATGTCGGGCATAACTGATCGACGACAAGCGTCGTGGTCGACCAGAGTGTTGAGCCGCTGTCATCGGGTCGTACCAAGGGCAGAAGTGGATTGGGTCAATTCTAGTCATTGGGTCAGTCCATAACAAATTCTTTGTATATATTATATATCATTTTTGTATATATATATATATATATATATATATATATATATATATATATATATATATATATATATATATATATATATATATATATATATATATATATATATATATATATATATATATATATATATATATATATATATATATATATATATATATATATATATATATATATATATATATATATATATATATATATATATATATATATATATATATATATATATATATATATATATATATATATATATATATACAAATTGATTAAAAAAAGGAATAGAAATTTATTCATAAGCAAGTATTTAATCAGTCGATTGTCTTAACTCATTGTTTCATCAATTTTAGTTTCTGACTAGTTTCCCTAATCCAATAATGTATCCAATCTAACAATCAAATTAGACCGCTAACACTTCCGTTCTCAATTCAATTGATTCGATTGATCGGTCCGATCTGATTTTTAAAACATTGGATGAAGCATTTAAGAGCAACGGCTTTTAATTGTCTAATTTTGAAAATTATATTATCAATATTATTACATAAAAAATATATTTTTATATTAAAGTGAGAGTTGTTGAAACAAAAATTAAAAGCTACATATAAAAAAATGAAAATTAAAGATGACAAAATTAACATAATATATTTAACATAATACAAAAGTTAACATAATACAAAAGTAAAATAGAAACTTTCTTTTGTATATTTTAAATAATTAGGATTTCTAATATACTTTTATAATTCAGTCCTCTATTTTCTCCATTTAATATATATTTCTGAATTAACTAATTATTAAAAAAATTGGTTACGATTTCATAATAGTCTTTGAAATTGATGAGTTAAGTTAATTTATATTCTATTCTATTTAGAATAATTAATGGGTTAAATGTCTTCTACCTCTTGTAATAGTAGTGAGATTTGATTTATCCTTCTTTTAAAAAAAAAATTTCACCCCTCAACAAACATAGATTACATAATCAAAAACCATTTAGTCCAAGATTTTATTTGAAATGCAGACGTGACCAGAATTTGTTTGTTGATTGGACTTCGAACAAAGAAATAGTGACATGGAATTGTTGGTTTAGCAATGTAAAATACAAACAAAGAAATATTCTCAAAATTTGCAATTCCATGGAATTCAAACCCATGAACACTTGGTTGTTCTAACATTCTTCCAATCACTCGGCCATCTATTGTTTGTTGAACATATTTACTCCAAAATCAATTAATAATAAAGTCAATTAATTATAACAACTTAGAAAATTTCATATGCATCTTCTTCCTCAATTTGCAGAGCTTCATCTTTACATTAGGGCAAATCAAAACCAAACAAAAAACTTATTCCTCTCTTCTGCACATAGTTGTGCTCCCATACCATAACTCATATTTTGCGATATCTCCCTCTGTTCAACATCTTCATCATGTTCATCACCAGCCATCACCTTCACACTTTCCGTATTGCCTCCATAAACCACCATCTTCCCTCTATTAACATATCAACTCACCTTTAACAACTGTATTCTCCATATCTCCATCATCATCTTTAGTGAATCAACTTTTTTCAATTTTTGTTCAACAATACTACTCTCCCGCCGCCAGCGCTTTCTGATTCATACTCCCTCTGTCGCTCAACATTCGTCTTCTGTTCAATCGTCACAGTCTGATTCAACATCCTTCAACTTCAAACACCGACTTTCCATCTTCTTTTCACGCGAAACCGCACCTGTAATTTTACATATGCAACTTTGAAATACCTCGAACATTAACTCCTTAAAAATGAAACCTGGAAGTAGTTGGTCTTCTGTTATCTCAGCCTTCAGTACAACATGTTTGGCCGAGTGTTAATTTATTTTAACCAACAGTACACAACAATAGTTAATGTAAAGATGAAGCTCTGCAAATTGGGGAAGAAGATGCAGATGGAATTTTCTAAGTTGTTATAATTAACTAACTTTATTATTAATTGATTTTGGGGTAAACATGTTCAACAAACAATAGTTAGCCGAGTGGTTGGAAGAATGTTAGAACACCCAAGTGTTCATGGACTTGAATCCCATGGAACTTCAAATTTTGAGAATATTTCTTTGTTCGCATTTTACATTGCTAAAGCAACAATTCCATGTCACCATTTCTTTGTTCGAAGCCCCGTCAGAAAACAGATTCGGACCACATCTGTATTTCAAATGGAATCTTAGACTAAAATATTTTTGGTTATGGAATCTATGTTTATTGAGCAGCGAAAAGAAAAAAAAATTAAAAGAGAGATAAATTAAATCTCATTACTATTACAGAGAATAGAAGACATTTAATCCGTAATTAATTAATTAATTTATTGAAAAATGTGTAAATATAAGAAACAGTAAAATTAAAATTGACACATTCTATTAATAGTAATATTTTTTCCGGTTCATTTTTTAACTAGAGACAAAAATTAAAATTTTCAAAATAATCATTTTGATTGACTTAAATAATAAAATAATAAATCTAAATTACTCTTTATTAAAGTGTTTGTAGTTTGGATTTAATGATAATGCAGTGACAATATAAAAAAAAATTATATTGTTATTCAATAAAATTATATCATTCTGATATGTCATATTAATATTTAAAAAATTTAGTCTGATTTATTTTTAGATTATTATTGATTGATATTGTCAATACATCATCTATTTTCTCTTGTAATTTATATATATTAGTTTTTTTTTACACTTTCAATTTTACTAACTTCAATTTTAATTAATAACTTCAATTTTAATAAGTTATATTTCTATTTATATTTTTATAAAGAGAATAAAAGATAACAATATAAAATAATTTTATATTATAAATCAATCAAAATTATATTAAATATTAAATCATATTATTATTTTTAAATAAATTATATAACATAATTAAACAATAAAAAATTTATAAAATAACATTGTAAAATGTCAGTGGACTTTCTTTTGAATATTTTATAATTTACATTTGATTAAGCTATTAAAATAATTATTTTAAATTTTTTATGTCAAAGTCTTTTTTATTCTTGTCTTTTCAATCAATCTCTTTATTTTTCTAATTAATTTAAAAAATAATAAATAAATAAAGAATTGATTGTAAAAATAAAAGAAAATTGTGATAATTTCTAATAAAACGTAAGGTTACCGTGTTTTTATAAATATGGGTTAACCAAACGTTTCCATGGCAACCAAGAAACACGGTCCTACACCCTTTGAGGAACCTCCCTCCGCCTCTTCCTGTGAGGAAGATTCAGTTAAAAGGGATCAACTGAGGCGTAAGGTTTCGCACTCTGAACAAAAGCAATGGAAGTTTCACCAAAGAGCATGGTCAAAAAGCTTTTCAACTTTTCCAGAAGATTGGAACACCGAAAAAAGATTGGAACATCTGTTGATTTATCAATGTTTTGAACATTTCTACTGAGAATGTTTTGAATGTTTTGTATGATAGTATTTTGAAATATATTATGAAACGGTTACTATATTAATGAGGTCTATATCTTGTAAATTGTTTTGTATTATTTTGTTTTGTCTAAATATTTAATGTCTCGGGAATCAAATGCATTCTAAGAGGCAGAGGCAAAATTCTAATCTGTTAAAAATATTATTCACTTAGATGAAGAATAGTAAAAATAATATTTTAATTAAAGAATTTTAAAAATGTAAGCTGAATTAAAAAATATATATTTTATTAAATTGTTCGAAACTTCATTTATCATTTTATTTTAAACAAAATAGAGATGTATAAAAAGTCTAATTTTAAATGAGTTTTTATTATAAATAAGTTAATTCTATCACCTATATATGAAAAGAGAAATAATGATGTTTATGACTAGTTATACCTATATATAAAGGGAAGGAGAACATGTTTTTGAGGCAGACTATTTTCTTTCCAATTTTACTTTTAGAAACTTCTTGATAATTACCACATTATTTAACTTTTCTCCTATTTTCAATTTTACTTCCATAATTTTTTTTTTCTACAATAACTTCAGTCTCTCATTTTCATTTTAATTCCTCAATTTTCCTCTGCTAACAATGTCATTTTTAGCCTATCAATTAAACCCATCATTTCTATTTTTGTTTATTTCTATGCCGCCAAAATTTTGAATTTTTTTACAAAACCAAAATTTTGAATCTTGGTGGTATAATACCCAAAACAACTTTTATTCATTTGTGTTAAGTCAATGTAATTTTATAAATTTATACAAAAATATATATATTGTTCCATGTTTTATTTGGGTTTTTACAAAATTGATTCATATCACAACTAATCTTTATGATATAATATATAAAATATTTTAACAGCAGCACTTCTAATGTTTGGACCCTTTGTATTTAATCAACACTCCTTTGATGTTTCTCAAAGTCTTTAAAAGATTATGAAATATGAGGATTACAGAGACATGAGTAGATTACATTACATTAAAGGAGAAGAATAAGACAATAGAAAACACCAGTTTGTAGATGAAAACGTGTTCGTTCATTCTCTTTTCAATTGTCCAAGCAAGAAATTTACAAGTATATATACAATATACAACACTTTTTGATCCTCTTTTTCCTTAGTGGGGAAGATTACATGAATGCTCAATAGAGCAAATAATTGAATTATGAATGGTTTAGATCTCATCTACTCCAATCATTAAAATAAAATCGGAAAATAGAAGAAAAAAATAAATCCAAAACCTTGGAAATTCTACAGCTATCAAAACACTATCAAGGGCTAGAAGGAACAATTGCACTAGTTTCAAGCAATTTAGTTACATCTTCATCCATAGGTATCTTGCTCCAACCAGGATTTCTCATCGATAAAATTCTTGCTCGTTCGAGTCCATTACCTCTGAAGCCATTCATTCTTGACGACATCATTGGCATCACAAAAACTGAAGATGCATTGATCGTATGCTCCCCAAAACCAAGACTTAATGCACAAGAAGTCTGCAAATAGATAGAAACTCAAGTTGTTAGTTATCGAAACTGATTGTATCTGTATCCGACAAGAATGTCAATGTGACTGACTACCTTTGCCTTGACCAGAATATCTGTAACCTTTAACAGGATTCCTTTGACAAAAGATCTTGGGTCTTTGTTGTGTGCTGCTTCTTCAGAAGACGCTACTAATCTATAACAGATAAAACAGTATGGACATTAGTGAAAGTCGCCCATAATAAGAAGCAAGTATGTAAGCATCATGAAGAAATCAAATTAAGTTTTAAAAAATTGAAGAACCATTTTCTGCTTTCAATGATCAAAGCAAAACAGAAGAATATTTTTTTTAAAGCAAAAAATGAAAGTGCAAAGATTTTGGGGATGTCTCATAAATGTAAGATGATACAATGATATACTCATACTTCAACCATATGGCTTCCTTTCAGGGTTGTCTCGTAACTATGATAATTTTAGCTTTTGGTAGTCCATAGAAAGTTTCTTATGGTACCTTTTCATTTCTGTTGAAATGGCAGGAGACGCGACGGAATCCAAAGAACTGTCTTTAGTCTCGGAAACTGAAACATTTAAAACAAGTTACATACTATCCCCTGAACACCTCGGTTTATAGTAAAACCCAATTGTGAATTTATAATACCTTTTGATTCATCAGGTGCAAGCAAAGAAATGCCAATGAACACACACATCATTCCAAGTATAAACATTGTTGTCCTTAATGTGTCAAATACCTGCTTTCAGGAGTATAAGGTTTAGATAACACCTAAATTCATTATCAAAACCTATGAAGCACAGACTCCGACACGGACACTCCGACACTGATAGTCTCAAAAACATAGGACACCGACGCCGCTACATATATGATATTATTTGACCTTTATTTATCCATCCATTATTAAAAGAATTACAAATATTCTAATCAAAACTAATGCCTTCAATTCTTCATTGATAACATTGCTTCGATACATGTTTAGCCCTTTTATATGTGTATAAGAATTGTCTAAAAAATGCATAAGGTGTGTTGAAGTAAAGAAAAAAATAATAATTTTTTTAAACACTTGTCTGAATTGTTCGGCAAGTGTTGTATGAGTGCCATATGGATGTCTGACACCGATTCAAAGAGTGTCAAAGTGAAGGAAAAAACAATTATTTTGGTGAGACTTGTCTGACTTTTCCGACACTTATTTGATTTTTTTGACACATGTCGTACGGGTCACACAAGTGTCGGACACTAACACATGTCAAACACCGCGACACACCTGCTCCTAGAGGTGTCCGCGCTTCATAGTAAAAAACATTCAGCATTCATCAAAGTAAGGATGATACTAACACTAAGCAATCGTATGGAAATTGAGTTTTGATGTTTCTCTAAATTCCATATCATGAGTTACTCAGCAATCTTATTCCAAAAAGAATGAGTTTGCTTAGAAGTAAAGTAATAAAATCTAAGTTATTCATAACTTTGTTGATGCACATAGAAGAAAAGTGCGATCAAGTTAACAATTATGTTAAGTGGGCCATGTGTGTTACTATGTTGAATCCATGGTGTTCTAAATATGATGTTTATGAACTTTAAGTTCTGAATATATACCCAACGTGAGTCCATTTCATCAAAGTAGATGTTCATTTTTTATGTACAATAGTTTGATTTTAACTTTTTACAGTGTTCATGGCAAAGGAAATGGCTACATGTGTTAATGTATAACTAGATGTGAAATTACCTGATATTCCTGAAAATATATAAATCCCGTACAAATTGAGAAGAGGGTCCATGCTATCTGAAACATGGGAACAATAAGAATTGCATCGAACAAGGACAATCCCTCATTCAACCTGGTCATCTGCACAATAGGAAAAGTTTATCTGATCAAAACTGCACAAATTGATAGAAGCCCTAAGAATTTTTTTTACCAAAAATAAACTTTACCCAAAATCCAGCAGTACTGAGAAATAAAAGAAGTATGGAATATGTGAACCAGCTGTGCAACTGATAACCATTGGACAAAGCCAGTCGTAAGAGATTAGAACTGCCAAAACGAAATTGACATTAGGAATGAAGTACATGGTTATTGTGCCATGAAGCACGATAACATGTCAGAACAGCAGACTTACAGTGATTTAGCGAACAACACTGAGCATGAACCTATAGCCCCTGAAACTACAGCATAAGAAAATGGCAATAGCATACTCCAAAAGGGTTTGAGCTCATGTCCTGATACAGCAATCAGAAGTTCACCTCTCCTGCACATTTCACATTTTAATTATAAAGAAAAAAAAATGTCCCATTGAACTATCAATAATTAAATCCAAATCATTACTTGTAAACGGAGTGATGCAAGACAACAATTACAATCAAAGCTAGAAGGTACAGAAGGAATGCGGCATTGGTATATTTCTCTGTCAACTGCTCTGGAGTATAAACTGAAACGCAAGCAGTCCATCACAAAATTAGTTTGGACTATTGAAATTAACATTATTTTCTTTGATACAATGATTTGTTCAAATGTTTAGCAAAAATGAATCTTGACATTTAATAGCGTACAGAACATTTTAACTGAAACACAGTGCTTTAATTGAACAAGGCAAATATGTTACATACCAGGTGATTGGTGATTGCCAAAAGCAACTAGAAAAACATTTCCAAGAACAATGAAAGCCGTGGCAACCAGTACCCTGTTTGAAGGAGAATTATTAAGCCACGAGAATTTACATTGGTAGAACCATTTTCATGAAAAACCAAAAGTGAAACAGTAATCTCAATTCAAATTTGGCATACTTGACTGTCACTACTTTGTTCAACACAAAGTAAGCAAATGCGAGGTTAGATACAAACTGAACAGATCCCAAAGCTGCAAGAAGTGACTGGAGAGCAAACAGAACCATATATAATCAGAAGAAAAATAGGAAACTACTTCACAATACAATCATAAAATTACATAAGTTTAAAAAATCGGATAAGTATCATGGAAACATACCTGGGCGGCGTAGCCAAAGGAAATGAAGTTAAGGCAATTTCCAAGAAAGAAAAATAGGATACCTGCAAATCAAAATTTATACAATCAAAATAAAGAATCAGCCACTTGGGTAAAATGTGCAAAATCCATGTATATAAAAGCAACTACACTATACCGATTCTCCAACTCTGAAAGTATATAATAGGCTTCAGAGTCACCTTTCCATGTGCCCCATCACTTCCAAGTAAATGTCTTTCTCTCTGCAAAAAGTGTAACACAGTCTATTCATTCATGTTACCAAACTAATTTGATAACGCAACTTTACTGAAATAATACGAGAGTTCTGTCACTGATGCCAGAAATTGTGAAGATCACAACTTAATATTAGCATTCAAATAAGTCAAATGACATGAACGTAAATCAGTTAGAATTAAATATAACAAAATGTTTCACTGCTTTACTTTAGGGTATTTTTTAATGGAGGGTTTTGGAGGGAGGGCTAAGTCTTAGTTTTATATATATTTGAGATTTGAGATTTGAAATTTTTTGAAAGAATAACATGATAGGTTGTCATATAATAACAATTAAATTACACTTAATTTTTCGAAACATTTCAAACTTCCTTAATTTAGAAAAGAAAAATAAGTAAGTCCTTCTCACAACCACCTCCCTTCCAAAATCCTCCATCCAAACACACTTTATAATGCTGAATGTCATGTCACATTTAAGTGTTTTTAGTCCCCTATAATTCAAAAGATATAAATACAGTATCTTATTCACAACATTGTTATCCATAGCAATGATGTAACAAGATACACGGACCAAATCAAACGTCACCATGTTATGTCATATACGATATCTCTATCCAATTTATTAATCTCTAAGTCTTTCTTAGTAGTTTCTTTACAGTTTTTTAGGTCTAATGATTTGACTTCCCCATCTGATCCACAAGCCCAAACCAACTAAGAGGAGTTTTCACCATCTTTTCACAATAGGTGTTATCCCCAACTCTCTTTCTTTCTCTCTAATGTTGTCATTCCTAATCCTATCCAACTACACACCAAATGCAACAATCTCATCTCTGCTATGCTTACTTTAATCTCATGTTGGTTTCTTACCACCAACGCTCCGTCCCATGCATCATTTCCAGTCTTACAATTCTACGATAAAAAAATTTCCTTCAATTCAAGTACTTTCGTATCACATCACATAAAACACCTCAAACCCTCCTCTATTTCAAACCACATAAAACTACATCACAAACAGTACCAAGCCGAAAACAACAACTTAAGTCATACCTCATTATGTCCTAATTTGAGAAGGTTGGTCCCAAAGTTTATAGCAAGACTACCAAAAAGGTTGATGAAAGCTCCAACAACCCACTCCCCCATGAATAAACGATGTGGCACCGCGAAGGATACACCACATGCACCACAAAATTCGCCTCCACTTCCCAACACAAGTTACCTCTCAAATTCTTCACACAAATACAAACCAAAGCTGAAATATCAACGATTTTGTAGCCGTAGTCGTAACCACCAACTGAACCAGTTTCAAAACAACACTATAATAATCCTGTAACATTAACAAACATAAATCAAACATAAATCAAACAACTAATCCAAGAACCTTCAACTCTGATTATAATTTTCCATATAAAAACGGAAAAAAAAAAAATTAAAGTGTAGCATAATGTAGTTATTATTTTCCATATAAAAACAGATTCCAAAAAGGTTCGATTCCCAAAAAAAAAAATCATGCATTGAATTTCATAATTTTTAGGACAAAAAATTCGGATCAATAAATGGAATAAACAATATAATACTCGAAATTGCAACATTTTGAAGTCATAAAATCAACAAAATCAAAAAAAAAATTCTTCAAAACCTAACTTACTTCATTGAAAAACCTAGATCTGCTAAATTTATAGAAATAAAAAAAAAATATATAGATCGAAAAAAATGAGCGAAATTGAAATTGATTACCTGAGAAACAAACGATTGCTTGAAATTGAGATAGCGTGAAATTGAAATAACGCGATAGAGTTGAATCGAAGGTGAAGGAATTCAAATTGAAAGGGAAAGAGAAATAGGGTTTTAATAAAGGAACTAGAAAGGTGATTAATTAAACTTAATTAGTTAGTTAATTAATTACGATATGAGATTAAATACTAAATAAAAAAAATTAAGATATGGAGAAGAATCTTCTTGGTCCAAAAAGGAGGGAAGTTTTATTTGGAGAAAAGTAATGTGGAAAGAAAAGAGAGAGAAAATTCGTGAGAGGAATTTGTTGTGTCAGAGTCTAATTTAGGTCAACATTTATAATTTACAACTAGGATCTAGTCGTGCTTTTTAAACATTTATCTAAAAAAGAAATATTCATGTTTTTTTTTTCTATTTACGTTAGGCTTAATGAAAAGTATAAAAAAAATTATAAAAATGACTGGTAAGTAATAAGTTACATTAAAATATTTTTAAAAAAAATTAAAAAAATTAAAGATTTATGGGTATCAACAATTGTTTGCAATAATACATTATTAAAAGAAGAAAGAAATATTATTACTAAAAATTAAGTTTTATATAAATTGTTTTTGCACTTATTTAATTCAACTAATACATTTTAAAAAAAAAATGTAAATTTAGAGTTGGATTGGAGAATGAAATATAAATAATAAATTTTGAATATAGTTCTACTAATAAATGTTTTAAAAAAAAAGAAGTAAATTTAGAGTTGGATTGGACAATGAAATATAAATAATATACTTTGAATATAAATTATTTAAAATGATTAATTTATAAATCAACCTCTTTTGTCTCTCTTCTTTCTTTAATCTTAATTTTCTTTTGTTCTTCATCTATTAAAGAGGAGTGATTTTAGAGTCAATTTTGGTCTAAAATTATTTTTCTGAATTTTTTTTTCTTTTATTTTTATTCAAATAAGTGATTTCACATATATTTTTAGTTTTTTTTCTTTGTGATTATGTCGTCTTAATGTGGCGTTGTGTTGGTGGTCGTCTTATTATGGTGTTATAAATCAACCTCTTTTGTCTCTCTTCTTTCTTTAATCTTAATTTTCTTTTGTTCTTCATCTATTAAAGAGGGGTGGTTTTAGAGTCAATTTTGGTCTAAAATTACTCTTCTGAATTCTTTTTTCTTTTATTTTTATTCAAATAAGTGATTTCACATATATTTTTAGTTTTTTTTCTTTGTGATTATGTCGTCTTAATGTGGCGTTGTGTTGGTGGTCGTCTTATTATGGTGTTATTTTGTTTTCTCGTCTTGGTGCGGTATTTGTTCGGTTTAGATTGACATATTAGTTTTGACTCAGTGCATATTCAACGAATGATTTTGACTTCGTCAACGCTGCAGACTCGGAGACATAGGTATTCCGAGTATTTCAATTTCATCATATTTGTAGCTTTATCATATTTATAGACATTTTACCGTTATATACTATTAACGTGGGTGTTGTGAGTTTGTTCGCAAATTCATCCTTTTCAATTTATAGCAATTTTAAGTTTATATTATTCAATGTATTCTATCAATTTGAATGAATAAATATCATTGTTAATCAAAAAATAGTATAATAAATATCTTAAAAGATTAGTAATGACAATTGTCAATTATTTAAAATATTTTACTTTTATTTTAACCATCACTAGAGTGACATGGCAAAAAAAAGTTACACGAAAAAAAATTAAATTCATATATTTAATATGTATGTTTTGTATATATTTATTACTATATTATAAATTTTATGTATATTTGAAGTGGAGCAAGACGTATCCGTGTGTCGTGGGATCGAGCTTTTTGATGCGAGAGCAAATATTTTTGATGCAATAAAGATGGGATGACATGTTGATGTAGGATTAGTATTATAATGTCATTGAAGTTTTTTAGATGTACTTTTAAAGTGAGAATGAGATACCACATATATCTAACGTGTGATGAGGTTTATATGGAGACAAAAAATTTCACCCATACACCTTCTTAGTCACCTCTGACGAGACTTTGTTTTTACCTTCAGAATTCATAGATGTAACTCTGAATGCACCAGAGTTAATTTTTTCTTGAGTGGTTTCAGAGATGTATTGTCGAAGTTACGAAATTCAATTTTTTCTGGGGTGATTTCGGAGATGTATTTTCGAAGTTATGAAATTTTATTTTTTTTGGAATGAATTCGGAAATACACTTCTGAAATAATCTCTTATTTTTTTAACAAAAAATATGGTATTTTCGAAAGTAAACTTCTGAAACAATCCCAGATTAGAAAGATTATAAAGATTAGAATTAATGAATTATGATTTATAATATAATTTATAGTTCCAGGAGTTTCATTTACTTATATTTTTTTGGCATTTTTTCAAAGTAAATTGAGTTAAAGTATGACTCACAATATTATTAGCCCGGTCCACGTGATTAAGAGGCCATTTTTAATTAATTATTTAATTTTAAAAAAATATGATATAAATAAATTGGGAAATTTTCTTTAGAAAAAAATATTTTCAAATAAATAATAATCAATTTAAAAAATAATTGAATTTTAATCAAAATATAATGTTTTTCAAATTTATAAATAGAAGAAAAGAGATCAAGATAATAAGAGAAAGAGATTGAAATTGATGGGGGAGAGTACGAAAGAAAAATGAGTTAATCACATACTAAAAGTCTAACAGTGTCTGGAATTTTGTTTGCAATTTTCGTTCGGTGGTTGAAGGGATAAGTGAGAGCATCTTAAAACGCCAAAATGATTGTTTTTTTTTTAAGTTTCAGAATTGTATTTCTGAATTCATCCCAAAACTTGATTTTGGATGCTTTTGGAGGTGTGCAAAGAAATTCTCGTTTATATGCGTCATATGGTTAAAATTGTCTCTATCTGATCTAGAGTACGATATGGGGATCCTTTAATCACATCTAACAGTAAGAGATATTTTTGAGGGTTGTGATCAGGTATCGTGTGTGTCGGTGAGGCTCCCCGTGTCCATTCTTTTACTTGGAGTGATTATAGATTGAGCCTTCGTGATTTGGCTTTTCGCTCTAGGCCTCTAGTTGGCCTATAATAGGTGTCCTCATGAGTCATTTTATTGTTTGACAACGCAAAGACTGAGATTGTCGGGCCACCCTTTATCTTTATGCTTTACTCCTTGTGTGAGTCTTTACTCTGCAACGGTGGGAGTTGTTGGACTTGAGACTTAATACACAAGATGGTGGTGAATTTTGTGGTTTGAAAAACCTTGGTTTTGAAAACTTTTTCATATTAAAAACAGAGTTTAAAAAACTTTGGTAGCGGAAAGTAAATAGTAAAAAATAAATTGCGGAATTTAAAGAGTTTAAGGGAAGAAGGAGAACACAAAAATTATAGAGGTTCGGTCAAATCAAAAGGACATACTCCTCTCTCCAAGAATTGATCTTGAGAGTTTCCAACAATAGTTTGGAGCTTTTAGTAGGAAAGACTCGTGAACCCCCTTATACAAGGAAATGATGGTTGATCTTAAACCAAATAATAAGTAATATAGGACAATGGATGCAGGTATTTGCATATTTTCTTCAATATATTGTTGAGAGTGAAGTGGTCAATCTTCTTTCTCAATGGTGGATTAAAGCGATTAGTCTTCATAGGTGTTGTACCCCAAAATTTGCCCTCCCATATTCTTCAAGAAATTGCCAAGTCATGCTTCAAAATTCCCCAGGGGTTGCACAGTGTAAGAGTCTCCTAAGCAGTCAAAATTAGGGTTTTTGTTCTGATCAAGAAAATGAAGTTTCCAAAGGTCCAATCAAGTCCCACATGCCTATAAACATGGTCAAGCATCCTCATATCAAGTTTCAAGACTTTCAGCACAAAATTGCACAGTCAAAAACCCTAATTGCACTACAGTCAACTGTAGGGGCAAAATGGTCATTTGACAGTCAAAAGTTCAAATTTTTGGTCAACATCTCATTTTGAAGCCACAAACATCATTTGATCAATGCTTGATCATGATTCTCAAAGCTTGGCTCAAAAATCATCAAGATGCAAAAGTTTCCTTATTTGGACAGCTGAAAAAGTCAACTGTAAATTGACCAGGGCATAACTTTCACATGGATTATCAGAAAAATTCCATCCAAAGCTCATTTTGAAGAGAAAGACATTTCCTACAACTCATCTTCATACTTCAAGTCCAAGAAATGCTCTCACAAAAAGTTATCAATTTCAACATTATAGGTCATTTTCAAAAGTCAACAAAAAGGGACTTTAAGTCAAAGGCCATAACTTGAGATTGGTAAATCAAAATGACATGGGACCAAATACATTGGTTAGAGGACTCAAAGACCTTTCCAAAATGTCCAAGAACATGAGCAAAGCTTAAAAATTGAGCAAGTTATGCCTTGTGGAAGTTGGGAAATTTTTGGAT